CCAAATTTACCAGTGTACTATCACTAAAAACGTATCACCTTCCGTAGTAATATGAAAACCATAATAAAGAAGGTGTGTTCCTAACCCGTGTGGAACGCCTCGGAGGTACAGACTCGTCAGCTGGATCAACAGGAGTTTCCTCCTCAGGTTGATTGCTAGTGTCTGAGGTTCCTTCACCAATTGATTCTTGAATTTCTTCAAGATCAATCTGCCTCCCACTGTCTCCTTGGCTTATAAATTCTTTCTCGCGAAAGATCCCTCTTCGTGCTACAAAGACCACATTCTCACTGGGTCTGTAGAAGAGGTAACCGAAGGATTTCTGTGGGTAGCCGATGAAAATACACCTTTCACTTCGGGGTTCAAGCTTATCATGAGTTTACGCCTCACGAAAGCTTCGCAACCCCAAATTTTGATGTGGTCCAAATTGGGAACCTTCCCAGTCCACATCTCATGAGGTGTTTTGGTAACCTTCTTTGTAGGGACTAGATTAAGGATATGGGCGGCAGTCTCTAAGGCATACCCCCAAAAAGAGATTGGTAACGAAACTCGACTCATCATAGAGCGAACCATGTCCAACAAGGTTCGATTACGCCTCTCAGCTACACCATTCAGCTGTGGTGTCCTGGGAGGAGTCAATTGTGAGACAATCCCACACTCCTTAAGATAGTCAAGGAACTCGGTACTAAGATACTCACCACCTCGATCGGATCGAAGCATCTTAATGTTCCTGCCCAATTGATTTTCTACTTCCTGTTGAATTCCTTAAACCTTTCAAAGGTTTCGACTTATGTTTGATTAAGTAGACATACCCATATCTACTAAAATCATCAATAAAAGTCACATAATACCGATTAGCATCCCTTGTGGCGGTTTTGAATGGCCCACATACATCAGTATGTATTAGGTCCAACAAACCTCACCCCTCTCACAAGTTCCAGTGAAGGGTGATTTTGTCATTTTTCCAAGTAGACAAGATTCACAACTATCATCTGATTTAAGGTCAAATGATTCCAAGACTCCACTCTTTTGGAGTTGGCCTATGCGTTTCTTGTTTACATGTCCAAGACGACAATGCCACAATGATGCTTTATCTAGGCTAGTAGAAGAATCAATATACAACACATTATTTCCTAATTGTCTACAATCGACACAGTTTCATACACACCATCACAAGGTAATGCTTTAAAATAAAACACATTATTAAAGAAAGCATTAATACCACCACATTCATTATCAAACGAAAAGGTAAAACCTTGTTTGTACAAAGCATGAAAAGAAATAATATTCCTCGCCATTTCAGACGAGTACACACATTTATTCAAATCTAATTTTAACCCATTATTAAGCAACAAAGTATAAACTCCAATCTTGGAAACAGGTGAAGCCTTCCTATTCCCCATGATTAAGTTTATCTTCCCGTGCTCCACATCCTCACTTCTTCTTAGGCCCTGCAAATCAGAACATATGTGAATACCACATCCTGTATCAAGCACCCAAGAGTTAGAATATGTTGAGTAATTAGACAATATAGTGTAAATACCTGCATAGGTGGGTTTCACTTTCCCATCCTTTAGATCCTGCAAGTACTTAGGGCAGTTTCGCTTCCAGTGTGCCTTTTCATGGCAATAAAAGCATTCAGCATCCTTGGGAATGGCAGAAGGAGTGACAGAACCGTTCTTAGTCTTTGATGAGGAGCCTTCAAGAGACTTTCCCTTGGTACCCTTCGAAGGGTGCTTCCTCTTTTTCCCTTTGCCTTGCCCAATAGCTAAAACAGGGGTAGATGTTGGAGTAGGAGTAGTAGAGGTAACAACCGCTTTACCCTTAAGACCGGTTTCCGCGGTCTTCAAGAGTCCTTGAAGCTTGCTGAGGGTAACTTCCTCCTTGTTCATATGATATGTCATTCGAAAATGATCATAACAAGAAGGCAAGGAGTGCAAAATGATGTCAATTGCCAACTCCTCGGGGATGTTAACATTCAGCTTCAGCAAACGGTCCACATACCTTTGCATCTTTTGCATGTGGCCCGTGACGGATTCACCATCCTTCATGCGGGTAGTTATTATGGAGGAGATTATTTCATACCGCTCCTGACGAGCACTCTGATGGTACCTTTCCATCAGGTCTTGGTGCATCTCAAAAGGGTAGAAATCTTCATACGACTTTTGGAGCTCGGCTGTCATCGTGGCCATCATGATACATGCCACCTTAGTAGCATCTCTCTCATGAGTCCTGAATTCAGCGATCTCCTCAGGAGTAGCAGTAGACTCATCAAGTTCTTTTAACTCCTTATCGAGGACATATTCCTTGTCCTCGTAACGAGTAACCATCCTGATGTTCCTAATCCAATCCATGAAGTTGGAACCATCAAAGATGACCCTCCCACAAAGATTCATGAGAGAGAAAGAACCAGTTGGGTTAGAGCCTGAAGCATTAGTGTTGGAAGACATCTGAAAGAAGAAAGTAAGTTTAGATTAGATATTTAGGATCCTTAATAAGACACCCAAATGTAATATTAAGGCTAGGATCCAATCACAATATATTACACTTAGAAGAGGGATGCCGTAATCTAAGTAATAATATATTTGAAAGGTAGGTGAATGACGATTCACCAATTTCCACCATGAAAACGAAATGATTTATTAGGTTTAATTGGATTTGAAATTCCTAGATTCTTTTGAGATTCATTGAACTTTTCAATGGCATGTTTCAATCTCGATTGTGCCCTTCAAGTTTTGTGACTGGGATGCCGAGGATCACAAAACAAGGTGTGAATAACCATGCTAATTCACTTGGTACTCTTAATATTATCACCTAATCAATGTGCCGGTTAACCACACACGCTCCATTGATCTATGACAAACATTAAGTCACCCTTCGTGATCCTTACTAGTCCTAGTTAGTGTGCCGGTTAACCACACACGCTCCACCAACGACTTGGTAAGGTACAAAGTGTGAATTCCATGGACTAGCACCATGTTCACATTTTTCCTAAAATAACTAAGATTGGGAATTAAAAGAGTTTAGTTATTTTATAATATTCATTATACTTTTAATGAGGATTTAAAGTCATTGTTCTACCCGTTCGGCTAACGACCCTCCACCGATCAAGCAAGCGGTGGGTGAGAGTATACACCCATTAAGTCGCCATTTTATAGGCAACAACCTTATACCCACCTTATAGACCGGCTTCGTGAATGAGGCCTACTAACGGTAAAACGACTTATTCTTATACATATATATAATAATTAACCATTAATGTTATAAATAGTATAAGGGTTGAATTTTAACTATTAAAACTCTAAGGTTTGGAATTAAAGTTTATTAAAGTGTGTGAAACTTTACAAATTCCAAAACTTGAGGGCAAGTTTTGTAACTTTGCAAAACTCTTCATTTCATAACTTATGAATTAAAGGTTCATAAAAATGAAGACTCTTCATTTTCATGTAACTTATGTGTTTTAAGTGTGTGTTAAATGAAAGTGACCTTTGGTAATCCATAACTTGAGGACAAATTATGGACTCCATTAAAACACATAAATGATAAAGAATTAATCCTAAACAATTCAGCAAATAATTCCTATCATTTTCTAAATTCATAAGAACATGAACATGATCATCAAAAATTCAAGAATTATATGAACACATAAAATCATGGAATTTTGATATATGCTATTGTAAATGGATTAGAACAACCATTACACCAACTAAAATAAGTTTTATAACACCAAAACAGTTTAGGGTAATGTTTCTAGTCCATTTCCAGCAGCAAAAGTCGAGAATCTGCACTCTTTCGATCCTACTCGTCGAGTGCATGAACTTACTCGCGAGTAGGTTGAAGTTTGCCTTGGACTCGTCGAGTCCCCCCAATGGACTCGGCGAGTCCACCATGCTGACAGCAACGATTTCGACTTTTTTCACTATTTTGCATCAAGTATCAAACAAGCAAGCCTAGGCTCTGATACCACTGTTGGGTTTTGAGCAATCTAACACTTCCTAAGTGTGCATGCAACCCTAATAAACCTTGGATCTATGTTTGTCTAAATACATGCAAAATAATAATTTTCCAAGGTTTATAACCTATCTAACATGGCATGGGGAACATTTCAACATAAAAGAGTTAGAAGAGATTACATACCTTTTGGTGAGTTTGGTTCTAAGGAGTTTGAGGGCCAAGCACCAATAGTGTGAATGCCTCAAATGGAATCACAAACACCACAAACTCTTGGAAAACTTTGAGAGAGTATACACCTTGTATAAAATCGGCCACACACATGCACACACACACTAGTTCACTAGTTTTCTCTTAGGCTCCATTTCATGCTCCATAAGCATGCTTATATAGTGTGCATGGTTAGGGTGAAACCCTAATAACCCATGTCTTTTCCTTTTCCAAGGATCCATGGGTTAAAAGCTCCATGGATCATCCATGGACTTCCACATAAGCCTAGCCCATTAACAAATGAGTATTAGCCCACACTATATATAAAACAAATAGCCCATAATTTAATTAGTATTCCTTTTAATCTCTAAATTAATTCATAATTAATTTAAGACTAAAACTAATTAAATAAAGTAACTTCATATTAATATATTATAACTCATAATATATTAATAAACATATGTGTATAACTCTCATAAAATTATCCATAATAGTTTGGATGAGATGCATCCCAAATGGACCATGCCGGTTGGGTCAAGTATATACCAAATAAGTTATGGACTTAGACACCTTATCCAACAGTTACCACCTGGAGAGTTTGTTAGGGTGTCATTGAAAACCATATCATCAACATCATTATCACCCAGGGACACAAGTCACTTCATCACAGCCATATCGCTTTCAACTTTAATTAACCTTTTATCCATTAAGTGAGCTAACTTCACAATTATAGAAAGTTGAAAAAGAACAACATTTTGAAAGTTGGAGCTTGATTCATCCTAATCATTTTGATGTAACGCAACAGTTTTGGTAGGAGTTGGTGCAGGAGGAACATTCTCATCTTAAGGAGAAGGAGATGTTAACTCATATTTTATCATTGGTTCAACAGTTTCCACAAAATGAGAGGTTGATCCATGTTGTACAATAACATCTGCAGAAGGAGTGGATGAAGAAGTAGGTGAAAATCGAATGTGCTTGTTCATTCTTGGAGGAGAATTCATTCCCTGAGCAAAGTGTTCTCCATTATCAGTGACTGATCTTTCTTCATGTTTATCAAAGTCTTCTTCTTTGTCAGCCCCTTCTATACTAAGAGTACCTTGTTTATAATTATCATCACCATTGTCTTTATTAGCGACTTCATCAGTGTCTTCTTTACCATCACGCTCATCACCGTCTTCAAAATCTGAGGATTCAACCACATAGGGTTTATCAATCCATTTTTGCATCCTCATAGTGATAGATAAATCAAATTTAGATGGAACGGAATTAATAATATTGAAGGAAAGATTAGGAATTGGAATTGTGATCCCATGACTATCAAGATAACATTCCTTACAAGATAATATGAGTCCAAGCCAACATGGATAAGAAACATACGTTGGCTTCTTTTTCCCAATGATGTAGTCAATGAATTGATCAAGATTAAGTTAAACAAAATCCAGTCTTTTATTGTACAAATAGAATATAAAATACTTTGCTCAAAAAGATTCAGTTGGTCCAAACTCACAGCCTTGTGTCCAAGACATTTGCCAATTTCACCTATTAAAACCTCCATCCTAGATTAAAACACTAATGAAGAGTGTTCTTGTATGTATCACAAGTGAGACCCTCAAGTTTGAAATTATAGCCTAATTTTTCATGAACAGACTTGCAACTTTCTTCAGATGGAGCTTCAGAGTAATCTTTAAAACTAGGAACACAAAGAGTAGTTTGAAAGGATTCCACATCAATAGTAACCCTATATTGACCATCTCCAATGCTTCTTGTAATGGTTCGAGCATTGGAATCAACAGAGCATGAGTAGTAGAAATCACACACCTGTTTAGGGTAGAATGGGTCTAGGAAATCGCATAATGCATATTGAAGAGGATTGCTCTTAACATAGTTAATGAATTCTTTGATTTCTGAGTTTCCATATTGCTCTGGATTTCATTGGAAAATGCCACATTATTTGCTTTAATGATGGGAGAGACAAGGGGCTTGAGGATCTTTGATGACATTGGTGATGGAGGCAAACTTGTGTATATACTTTCACATGGTGAAAGCTTTGAGAGAAAAGATGGTTGAAAGATTATTTTTCAAGAGAGAAAGAACTTATTGGTTGAATAGCTTGTAAAAGTGACTTATGATGGAGAATTCCAAATTTATACCTTAAAGTTTCTTCCTTTTTACATAATCATGAATGAAGATATATGCATCGTAAAAATATCATATCCCAAGATAATGATGGACCTTTCAGTCATCATCCAAAAAGTTACCATTGGAATAAGCAAGCTATATTAGTGAGACATTCATAAGCGATAATGAATATATGCGTGATTGATCAGCGAGTGAATTGATGATGGTCTCCTAGTAAGTTTCTAATGCCTCGTGATTGTGGGGGCATAAACTACCATTCACTGACATAGTATTAGAAGATCTCATCAGCGTGCGGTTTCATACGATGAATGATTAATCACTTTTATTAGAAGCAAAAGCATAAGAGTGGTATGATATGTGTCATAACTTGTGGTGCGTTAGCTTAACCATTAGCATAGATTTTCAAGCACTCATTAACATATGGTAGAGTATGCTGAATCATAAAGATATAAAGAATAATATAAGGGCAAGAATGGGTTGGTGCATGTAATAGTCTATGATACATAGACTAACCATCGGCACATAGTTTCAAACATTTCTCCGTGTATGGTATAACACAGTGAATCACCAAGTTTTATTATTAAGGTAATGAAAAGTATGGATTGTTTCAGTCACGCTGAGGTAGAATTAATATGAATCATAAATTGTATAACTCATTAACAAGAAGTGGTTTAAATCTTTGTATTATAGAGTAAGTTGCGGTCTAGGGCAAAAGATTCACCATTTACTCATAATGGTATCATGTCATACCTTAGACTAGAAGATAAATGACATGGACAACCCATTATCATTTCAGGACTAGAAAACTAAATCATATGTTGATGATTGTGCAATCAGTGTAGCCATTGGGATATGATCAATGTTTCAGCAAAAGTTGAGACTTTATTCATACGAGAAGCATGCTTCCAGGGACAAGGTCAGGTAGGATAGTTAACTAAGAACAAACACCCAACCCTTTTTAACAATTCTTTATTTGGACTAAGAAATATCACATAGGAAGTTTAGACAATGCTAAAGAATTAGTGTGAGGGCATAACTAAATGCTCTTAACATATGGTCTTGCTGGTGAGAAAATTAGAGAGATTTTAGTCACATACAATAACACACTTCTAGGATGATGATGTGTCAAAAGTTGCATACTAAGCTTAGAATAGCCTACATCCGATTCCTTTAAAAAAATAATATACACATAAAAAATAAAATAGTTAGTCAAACAAGAAAATATTTTAAATAGAAAAATATGTGATACTTTTTTAGAAAGGTGATAAAGACTTATTCCATATAATCTTTAAAATGGAATAGTCATAAATGCATTTTCATTTTCCAAGATATCTACCACTTGAATTTTGGCTTTAAAAGTGAACAAACAAGATCACCAATATCTCACAAAAAACCAAGTCACAGTAAACGAAGGGCGAGAATACCTTTAATCGTTTAGATTCTACAAATTGATTCCAAGCTTCACGTTCACCATGAACAAAAGAAGAATATGAACCAATTTTTCTAGCCAGTGAGTTAGAAGTATCAAATCTTAGTAAGCTTCGAGTTATAAGAGTCACCAATACAATCATCGAAGGTTCCATTTATTGTGATCCATGAAGGAAGATATGGTGCGATTGCTATCTTGTTGAAGATGTTTTTGGAACTTTGAGGTGATGGAGAGTTAATGACAACGTCCCTAGAAACTAGGCATGCCATCTCATGAAACTACACTTCATCTCATTGGAACCAAAATAGGATGTTCAAGATAGAATAAATATGTATCCAGAAGAATACTTAATAGCACATTTATCCCCCATTTGGTCTCATCATCATGAGCATCAACATCAGTGAGACGTTGGTGCTAAAGAAAAGATGCTAAGTCAGTGTTACCTAGCTCCTTCAAAGAGGGTGATGCAACTAAGGAGTGACACATTGATATGAATCAGTTAAGATAAATGTTAAGATGGAGATAGAAGGTCCTAACACATATAGAGCAAAGATAAGAACAAACATTGCCATTGTTAGTAGCAAAATTTGTATTATACAGTGTATACTCCTATAGTAAAGAAATATAAAAAATTAATGCACAAAAAAAATGAACTAAAAGTGTAGCAACTTATGTTTATAAATTTAAGGGTATCAAAGCATGAAGAAAAATAAAATAATGTAACAATGTATAAACCAATATAATCAAATCATATCAATATCATTGTCCCTGAGTGCAAAAAGCAGGATTTTGTTCTTAGAATCAAACACCTTTCCCTCATGAAGATTGAAAAGAACTTTCTAACCAGTGTCACAAAGTTGACTAATGGAGATGAGATTGTGTTTTAGACCCTCGACATCAAACACATCCTCCAGCTTAATCATCCTGCATTCAAAAGTTCCAATACATGTAACAATTCCTCAACTATTGTCATCAAAGATCACCATTAGACCACCCTTCATTGTAAAATTTGTTAAGATGGACTTGTAACCGGTCATGTGTCTAGAACTTCCACTGTCAAGGTACCAAGTTTGTCCTAGATTTGGACAAGGTCCTTTGACGGTGTCAGACCTATTAGTGTCAGATATGCCATCAGGGGAATCATTGATAAGTTCCATAAGATCCTTGTCATTCAACCCATCATCTTCAAATGTCCCGTTTTCTTCTAACCATTCTTCATACTCCTCTTATTTTTTAATGAAATCTTTTAGTAAAGATATGTTTTTCTTCTTTATATGAGCCACAAGCTTCATGTATAAGACTTCATAATTCTCTAGACCTTGAGTTTCTTTCTTCTCCTTGCAATTCTTGGCAAAATGATAATGACTTCCATAATTAAAGCAATTACCTGAGTTTCTCTTTTTTGAAGTGGATGTCCTTCCTAGAGTGTTTACATTAAACTAAGGTCTTAGAACCATGTTTAATTTGCTTTCTTCATAGTGTTTGACAGTCACAGGAGCACTGGCAATAATTTCATTAGTGAGTCTTTAGCCATTTCCTCACTCTAAGCTAAATTTGTACGATTCACTGATGTGCTTCACTACTTCTATTTCGAGACACTAGAGCAATATAATTTTCCTTGCTTGAATACTTCATGAATTCTTTATGAAGAGCTCTGGTTATTTCATAATTTCACATATTACCGAACATGTAGTTCAAAACCATGATCTTGATCTTTTCACCATTCTTATGAACATCGGCGTGATGTACCCAACTTTTCCCAAGAGAATCGAAAAACTTTAGAATCATCTAAGATGAATGGTTGATGATTCCCAGCTTATGCATATCATTAACCAAACAGTTAAACCTATTGAAGGTTTGGGTAAGAAAATCACCTTGTTAAGCAAAGAAATGCTCATATCTTCGATTGAGGATGATGATGGTTGTCGCCTGGACTTCCACGGTGCCTTTATAAGCCACTGTTAGCATATCCATCATCTATAGAGATGACTTATAAGTTTGTACAAGAAGATACAAATAGTAGGGAAGAGAATTTTTTAGTAGCCCTGGCTTTCACATAAAAACTGAACAGTCTCTTGTCATCGCCATCTTAACGCATCTCTAGATTTTGCTTCGAGGGACCAATATGAGTGTTTTTGGCTATGGGTTGGTACTTAGAAACATGGAGACATTTTTCAATAATTTTAATCATCTCATAGTCAATGGTCTCGAAAACAATCATGGCCTTTGTTTTCCATATAGTGAAATAATTGTTTATCAAAGGGAGGAATTCTGTTGAGACAAATGGATTTAGGATTTGACATGATTACTTGAGTGTATCACAAACCCTCTATAATACTAATAATTGAAGTTATCGATCGAATACACTTGAATTAATAATAATGAAAGTAAAAAACAAGTAGCAGAAACTAAATACCACCTAGAGTGCTCCAAATTGTTCTTTTTTACCATGAAAGAGTTTTTGTCTTCACCAAGAAGATGGGTTGTCACAAAGATGAATGAAAAAAAGTCAAACTCTCTACATTAGGGTTTACCCTGATGTATATTATATACTAATCTATGCATATATAACCCATGATTTAAGGGGTTTTATCTTATCTTTAGTAAGAACCGATCTTCATAACTAAGATACTGTATCTGCTATTAATTCTATACTTATCTATATCATTACCTAATATACAAAAGATTACATACAATATGTACACTATGTGCTAATGCTGATAAGCTTGATATGTTGGTGCTGATAGTTTTGTAATCATTGTTGCTGACACATAGTTTATATAGAGTTTGACTCATCAGATCATAAGGTGTGACCTTATAATTACTTACACACATTTAATGTATACTGAATACTTATAAATTTGTACTAAATGTGCACACATATTATGATAGTATTGCATAAACAAGGATTTATATTGGATGAATGAGTACATAGGTTTTATTCTTGTCTAGTTTAAACTAAGATGTATAAAGATGCTTAGTTCCTAGTAAGTTGAATAAATGTATAGTTATACCTAGTATTGTGGTATTATTAAATGAATAGGAAGACCGTATTGAATGTAAATTACAATTAATAATATTTGGTTTAGTTATAAACTAAGGCTTGTCAAGGATAATTAGTTAAAAGTAAATTGGATAAATGGGTAGTTATCGTATGTGTAGGATTGGAATTGAGAGTAGAGCTGTATTCTTCGACACTATTACATGTTGAGGTACATGTTATGTAGTAGATTACTGTAGTAGTATTACTTCTCTTTCTAGACGAGAACCACTTACTATTCTAAGTAGTCTCATGGAATGCTAGTAGACTCATAGGCTATTAGTGTTTAAGAATTATACTTTTCCAGGGACAATGATTATATATGCATTTGGGTACTTTATCCCCCTTATTGTTGCCTTTATTGACTTTTGTTGCTGAGAAATCCCCAAAACATTAGAATATACTTGTTGCTTACGATTATCCGTCTTGTTAGAGAAATATAAGAATCGATGGGATGTGTGTTAAGGGTAGATTGTTTTAGGATCAGTATATGAGAATCAATGGGATGCATACTAAGGGTAGATTGTTTTATAGATATCTATGTCATGTGATATATCTTTATTGTTCGATTACAATTCATTTTGCAAGATTAATATATATGATTTATTATCACTAAAATATTATATGATTGAAAACCCCCTTTATGCCACCAGGTTTTCCCAAACTCAAGCCACTAAAGCTATATGCATCACAGGTAGGAGGAATAAAGTTGTTAGAAGTTGATAAGGTTGTCGAGTGATTAAAGAGACAACCTTCAATTGTATTCATGATTGTTTAGTATTTACGGTGTCGATTATTTTGTGTTGATAAGGACATGATTAGGGTTTTATTATTTTGAAACAACAATTGCTTTCAAAATGTTTTAATATACTGGGATTTTCCAAAAACAAAGATAACATGGTTTTGAAAGCGTAAACAAAATTTCTTTTTTGGTTCTGGAAAATACAGATGTCATAGTTGGTATGCGGCCATTAATTGAAGTGAACTAGGAATTGTGATTAGTTCTAGACTAAATTTTAGAGACTAAGTTATGATGGTGAGAGGTGT